GCTTGGATGCTCTTGCTGATCCTTTAAGTTTGTGCCATGTTACAGTTCTGTGTTTGGATAAAAAAAGCCTCCCGGGACTAGTGGTTACGATGGACGGCTAAATGCCATTCTCCACCATGCCACTGCAAGTCCAGGTCCTGGGAGTCAAGATCAGAGGCATCCAAACTAGGTCAGCATGAAGTTGTTTCAGGTCTGGAAGATTTATGAGCTCAAGGTATGCGCTGAAACAAATTAGTTCAGTACCTCTGGACCTGAAATGGCTTTGGAAGCCATTTAACTACATTCCTGGGCTGCTGCATGTAAGTTAATGAACCTCTCCAGAGTTCATTGAGCTCAGAACCAGTTTGGGATTATCTGTAGCCATGGAGTGGTAATTTTATTTAATTAGTAGAAATAAATTCTTTTTCATTCAGATAAATGAGTTCTTAACAAAGGCAGATCACCAAATTGGTTTCACTTTTGATTAAATAATAGTTTGCTGATACTCCAAGTATAAAAGTCAGTAACTGAGAAATCTTGGTGTGAGTCTGTGGGAAGAGATGGAAAATAATAACCCAGTGTTGCTCTTCTGAAATAATAACTCTTTGCAGTGTATCTTTTGACCTGTGCTCAGTTATTAAAATGTCTCCAACGAGGTGCAACTGTTGTCCATCAAAGCTTGTTAGACTGATAGTCATGTAGAACCACGTGGTTCATTTCCAAATGCAGTAGACTAAGAATGGAGGTATCAGACTCTGAGATACTGAGTTTGTAAGTAAAAATGTATTGATAGACCAATGTCCATTGGCATTTTCCCAATCAGAATTGCATTTTCCTTTCACCTAGGGATTGAATTACGGTACAAATGAGTTTTGAATATTTTAGTATTGTTGATATTAACACTGGGTTGTAGTTGTTCTTTGCAAGCTGGGAAAAATTCAGAACAATATGTTGTTTGACTGAAGCCACTGAAAGTTTTTGCTAATGTCACATCAGTAACTTCAGTCTATATAAGTCTTGTTACCATTCTGTAAAAGTAATGTAAACATATAGTCATAGAACTAAGTGGGCAATGATAAGTGTGATGAAGATGGGTCTTGGATGCTATTAAAGTGTTTGAGCAGAACTAGGTGTTGAATTAAGGCAGAATAAATCTATGTCTTTTGGGAATTCAACTTTTGAACATTTAATAGAGAAGTACTGAAAAGTTTTGCCACAAAAGCTTACTTTCAGGCACTGCAAAGGATGAAGTAAATTGGAGAAAAGTAACAATGTTGCAACAGCTTCAATTTGTTTTAAACTTTAGTTCCATTTTTGAGCATGAATACAGCTGTTAAAGGTGGATGGAAGCAAATCGTATTTTAACTTCTAGATACTAAAAGCTTATTAATTCTAGTTCTGTAAAGGAATGCCTGCCAAAATAATCCAGAAGACAGGAGGACCTCAGAATTTGTTAAAAAAAAAAAAAAAGAGAAAAAGTGTTTGTCACATTGTTTCTTCTGCATTTTTTGTCTTTTGACATGTAAGTAAATTTCTTGTAGCATTCTGGGATGCAAGTTGTAATATTCTTTTCTACTGTGATCTTTTAAAATTTACTTTATATATGACTTCATGGCATCTAGTTCTAAAGGAACGTAGAAAGTGTTTTGCTTTTGAAAATTAAGCCAGAGAAATTCATTACAACAGGCGAATTCACTGAACTACATAATACACTCAGAATCCCAGCCTGACACAAACCCCATATTTAAGAAAATGACCCCTGTGTTTAAGACACTATTCAATGTGTAGACATAATTGCATACAAATGATATTTCAAATCTCACATTTACCATTACAGGGCCAACATTTTCAGTGTGGGGTTTTTTTGGTTTTGTTTTTTTTTTTTTCTTTTTTTAATGAGATGGAGCATGTCTGCCTGCGTGTGTGGGAAGACTGGCTGGCTTTTGCCAGCAAAAGCAGGTGGTGTTCTCCCACCAGCCACGAGTTTGTTTGGGATGAGTAGCATAGTGACTAACCACCCCACCAGCCTTCCTCTTCAAACAGGCTGAGAGCCACCTGGCGCTTCTCCAAAAGTCTGTACTGATTCAGCACATCTTTGCAGCAGCCAGAAGCATCCCCTTCAGCAGTGAGTGCATGGTAGAGTCTGCCTGTCCTACTCTGATATCCCATCAGTGGTGCTTGGGCTGATACTACATCCCACTAGGGCCTGGTATATTGAAATGCTCCCAGATGAAACCAGCAGTGAAGAGCTCCATTTGTCAGGAATAATGAACTTTGGCACATCTGCATCGGAGACAGAGCTCCCCTGGCTGTGTGTACGCTGCTGTTACGAGGTTGCTCTACATCAGTAGGGTGAGAGCTCAAGTATGTACCAGCCTTTCCTCTGCCTAATCAGTGGGTTCTCTCCAAACTAGAGCTAGAGAGAGCTAGAACAAAGGCTGTATGTGTAGCTGAGTGAACTTGTTTGGAAGTTGAAGAAATACACTAATGTCTTCAAGATAACGCTGATGCTGTCACAAGTCTTAGATTACAGTGAATTCCCACATTAGCTGAGGATGTTGATAAACTTTTACGAATGTTTGCTGCAAGAAGAAGTCTTAGTTTTTTCTGTCTTCTCTTACTTGAACACATGTACTTAAAACCCAAGACTGAATCAAGGAGACCACAACAAGTGAACAAAAGAAAATGCTCTCTTTTAAGTCATTTCAAGAAAGAAGTTGAAAGTTACACTAAGTGCCTTTCTCCTGGAGAGCTATTTATCATCTTCAGTTTTATCCAAGGATGATACAGAGCCTCATTGCAGCAAACAGTATATCTGGAGTTAAGCCCAAGATCTCACCAAGGAAACAAGAGTGATTATTCACATCCCTCAACATGCTATTGGAAGATACATCAATATGGTAATGAAGGTGGTATAGGAATAGTGTCTTATCAAGCTCCTATTTAGTTTTTAAAGCTAATTTCTCAAGTATGTGCTGTTGAGAAAACAGTGGCAAGTTCATGCTCCCTTTTTACTGAGGTGTAAGTTCATCTGCCATCCAGAGGGACCTTGAGAGGCTTGAGATGTGGGCCTGTGCAAGTCTCACGACATTCAACAAGGCCCAGTGCGAGGTCCTGCATCTGAGTCAGGGCAAACACAGTCTAGGCAGAGAATTGATGGAGAGCAGCCTTGAGGAGAATTACTTGGGGTTTTTGGTTGAAGAGGAGCTCAATGTGACCTGGCAGTGTGTGCTCACAGCCCTAAAAGCCAGATGTGCCCTGGGCTGCATCAAAAGAGTTGTGACCAGCAGGTCAAGGGAGGTGATTCTGCCCCTCGCTCTGCTCTGGTGAGAACTCACCTGGAGTGCTGCATCCAGCTCCAGGGTATCCAACATAAGAAGGGCATGAATCTGCTGGAACAAGTCCAAAGGAGGGTAATGACAATGATCAGAAGGCTGAAGCACCTCTCCCTGTGAAGACAGGCTGAGAGAGTTGGGGTTGTTCAGCCTCAAGAACAGAAGGCTCCAGGGAGACCTTATAGCTCCTCCAGTACTTAAAGAAGGTTTACAGGAAAGCTGGAGAGGGACTTCTTATGAGGGCTTGTAGTGATACTACAAGGGCTATAAATGGCTTTAAACCAAGAGAGGGTAGGGTTAGATTACATATTAGGAAGAAAATCTTCACTGTGAGGATGGTGAGACACTGTAATAGGTTGCCCAGAGAAGCTGTGGATGCCTCATCCCTGGAGGGGTTCAAGGCCAGGCTGGATGGAGCTCTGAGCAACCTGGTTTAGTGACAGGTGTCCCTGCCCATGGCAGGGGGTTTGGAACTAGATGGTCTTTAAAGGTCACTTCCAAGTCAGACCATTCTATGATTCCATGTCTTTCTTTGCAATATAATTCTCATCTGTCTACTTTTTGTTCTCTAAATGCCTTTGAATTTCAGCCCACACAAAATCCTTACTTAGTTTTCTTTTTTATTTTTTTTTTAATTTTTATTTTCTCCCTCTGTCTAAGCTAGAGCTGCGTGTAAGAAAGGATGTTATTTTCTGATTTTTGTGTGTTTTATGTATCTATAGATGTGGAGTATTCATTAAAAAAAATCTACTAAAACTGGATGTGAAAAGTTGAAATTTTAAAAGGTGTTGCATTTACACTAGGAAGTCAAGTTCTGCACTGATGTGAAGCAAATTAATTTAATTTCCTAATTTGAGTGGCATGGTATTATGGCTTCCATGGGCTTTCTGCTTATGAAGCTGCCTGTGTTATCATAGTGTGTTACTTTAAAGTTTTTTGCTTTCTAAGGACGATTCCAAGGAATGCTGATTGTTCATAATTCAAGGAGCAGTTTTCCTTGCAAAGATTACAAGTTGTTTTGTGCAATATAGAGTGTAAAGGGGTTGCTTACACAGGCTGCCTGGAAAACAAAAGGCAACCTTTTACACAGAACCTTCAGGTAGTGCAGACGCTGGGGAGATCCATGTGCAGCCTTTTTACTGAACGCTGTGTTTCTGTGGTCTCCCAATACCAAATTTTGTACATCACAATCTTCCCAGAGTGATGCTCTTAATAAAAAGACAAACCTCCATTTCTAGTAATTGACTTGACATGTAATTTGGAACTTGTAATTTTGTGCTTAAATAGTTTTGCCTTCCTTATGAAGAAAAAGAAATTTCTGAACAATTAGTGATATTTTGTTTTACAGTGTTATAAGATAGTGGTAAGGTTTTCTTCAGCATTAGGGTGGCAGGCAGGAGCAAGTCACAGCTAAAGAAGAGCTGGTGTATTCAGGAGTCTGACGTCTGGCCTTTTGAAATGGGTAATAGGATAAGAAAGCAAAGGCCAAGTAAAATGGATTTATCACATCCAGTTATGAGCTTGGCATAATGTATACATTCAAACTTAAAAATTTCATAATAAAAGAATCTTGAGGGCAGATTACCATCTTAAAATTACTGGTATGGGTTTGTGAGAATGGTTTTCTTATCCATTTATACTTAATAGCAAAATAGATCAAGTCTTGATTTTAATGTGTTTCCACAGGTATATCTTGAAAGACTTTTAACTTATGCAGAGATAGATATTTGTCCAGCAAACTGGAAGCGAATTGTGCTGGGGGCAATTCTGCTGGCATCCAAAGTGTGGGACGACCAGGCAGTGTGGAACGTGGATTACTGCCAGATCCTGAAAGATATCACGGTCGAAGACATGTGAGTGCAGTTTGTTTATCTTTGTCAATGAGTGCCAAGATCCGTGTGTATGAGGGTGACAGGAAGTTCTTTCATAAATTATATGAAGTTTGTATATTTGTGTTGTATCTGAACATGGTGAATGCTGATAGATGGCATGAGGTCTACTTGGCAGCTGCTTACATGGAAGACATGAATTATTTGTGTTTTCTGGTTGAAGTGTATTGTGCCACTGGATTTTCATGCACAGTAATGAAAACGGATTTGCAGAATATTTAAAATATATGATTCAACAAAAATCCCTACCTCCAGTGAGCCTGCATTTATTCACTTCAGCATCATTTACTGTCATACTAATTTTCCATACAGACAGTAGACAAACATGTAAAGCAGGAAAAAAATTGTGATCCTAATGACCCTTAGATAATCACCCTCTTATTTATTGCCATTCTTCAGTATTGATGCTTTTGGCTTTTGAGGTTTTTCTCCCCTGTATCCTGCTGGATTAGTTTCCAAGGTGTTAAAAATGTATTAAGATGCAAATGGGAAAAAAATATATTTTTCCATTTTTTAATCAGATGGCATTCTTAAGTGCATATTTTAACAGCATAGAGAATTCTGACGTGTGGCTGGATACTTAAATCTTATTGAGGGTACATTCCAGCAGCAGTAAAAAAAATAAGAAACACAATGTCATAATGCTCACAAATACTAAAATGAGTCTTCAGTTCATAGTCTAGTCCTTTTTTTGTTTGGTGGGTTAGCAGGTGTTACATATGCTGGCTGAAGTGCCCTGGGTCTGACTGATGTGCATGTTCAGGGCTGAGTGACAGGCTGTGCACACTTTCCGAGATGCCCTCACCTGAGCTGGTGTGTGTGTGAGGAAAGTGCTGGAAGGGCTGCAGCTGGAATTGGCACTGGGATGGTGCTGAGGGTGGCTGATCCTCAACTGCAGCTGGTGTATTCAGAAAGTGACATTTCTGGTCTACTGGTGCACCCCTTTTTCATAAGAACTAGTAATAATAAAATTATTAAAGACATGTTTCAGTACAGTATCTGCATGTTTCAGAGCTCTTTGAAGCAGAGCTAAGTATCTGAAATGAGAATTATAGAGACTTGTCTGTGCTTTAGCTCACTTCAGTCAGGATCACAGCCAATGGAGAGAGGTTGCTGTGGATAACCCCTCTGGGAGGAGGGGAAGGAGGGAAGTACATGAGAAGAAATGTTTATGCAGACAGAATGTTTTTTGAATCTCAGTTTTCAATCTCAGAGCAGTGAAAGACCAAGAGTTTCTGCTACAGCATCCCTAATTTAGTTTCTTAATATTTTACTGTATGTCAGTTTTATAGCTGGTCTAAAAATGATCTGTAAGGGAAAGGTTGAATGTTAGAAGTCAGCTGATTGTTTTAAATTAGGCATGCTCATGCACTGCCAGATAAGTCTTATAAATTCTGAGTAGCTGTCATTGCTCAAGGATTAGGAAAGTTATCTCTAAATTTTGTATTAACAAGCAATTTGTAATAAAGTGGATTTTTTTTTTGCCCAAGTCAAAATGAAAAACACAGTGCAAAACACTTGCATTGCTGTGGTATGCTGTAGATACTTTCGTTGGTTTTGGGGAAAGCTTACTTCAAGACAGAGGTAGGAAATACCATGTACTGCCATTTCAGTATCTGTTTTAAAATACGTAAGCTACTTTAAGAATGGTTGATGATGCTTCTTCTCTGACATAGCCCAGACAGAATGAGGTTTCCAGAATAAAAGGGAGGAGAGGGAGATAAGAGGGACAAGAACCAAAATCAGGCCCTTCACATTTCTGTGTGCAATATTATTCCATGCAGAATAATTTGATAATGCTTCCTTGACTGTTTGTTTCCTAAATGATTTTTCTAAATTACTTTCTCCCTTGATCCTTTTTATGCCTTTGAGTGCTCAGTAGCAGTAAGAGTCTCCCTCCATTCGCTCCTCCTCCAAGACAAATCTCATTGCTTTTAAAGTATTTATGAAGCTGGGACATGACCTGAAGTGCTGAAAAGCTTGAAGCAGAGTGACAGGTTAGACTGTACCATGTGACAGTGTTAATCAGGAATGGTTATAAGCGTGACTTTTGAAATTGCTGATTCTCAGGACTTTTCTTGAAGGCAGGTGATGAGTCATACTGTGGTGGTGTGAAAGGAAACAGAAAAGGTTATTGTTTTTGACAAACACATGTGATGGTGCTACTGTTAGAAGTTGCACTTGAGCTATATAACATCAGTACTCACTGGCAGACCCGTATTAACATCGGCCCTCTTTCTGTGTTGCACCTAAGCCAAAGTCCTTAAGATTTTTAGCTTCTTATCCTTTTCTTAGACATTTTAGGGTTCTCACAAACTGCAGAACAAGAAGCCTTTGGGGAACCTGAGCTGTCTATATGATACTTGGTGATGTGGTTCACGGGCTTTGTGTTTAAGGCTCCTTGTGAATCCCCCAGCAAAGGTGTTGGTGCTTGTTGGCTTGGTGCTTATATTCCTGCTGCCAGTTTTTTCCCCCTGCCCATCTGTGGTGTGTTGGATTTTTTTCTTCTTTCTTTTTTTCAGGTAGTTGGTACGGTACAGTATGATGATTTTGAAATGTCTAGCTCTAAGCAAGAGCTTGTGTTAGTAAGGCAGAAGAAGAGCTCTAGGTCAAAATCTTCAGCTGCTGTGAATCATTTAGCACAAGTGTATCTTGGAAAACATCATGCAGGCCTTTCAGTGTTTTATAAGTCAACATCAGTACAGTGAATTGTGTCTAAAAACTAGTAAAGAACTTGGGAAGGACTAAAGCGCAGTGGGTATCTGTAGTCCTGTATGTAGCTTTACATAGAATTTGAGGAGTGCCCCAAGAAAGCACATGCTAAAGCAGTCTGAGGTAGGTGTATGGTGGAAGAAGGGTGTGGTGGTTAGTTAAATTACATTAGTTTAAATAAAAAATATTTGGGTTTTTTTGTCCTTTCTCAGCTGGAGTTATTCTCCTGATCTGACTTCAGATCTGGGAGTTAGGGGATAGTAAGAGTCTGAGGCTGTGTATTTTATTTACAGATTTGAAGGTGCTCTTCAAAAGAGTTACAGCCAGTGTCTTTTGCCATTAAAACAGGCTTTGTATTATCCATTAATGTAGACCCTTAGGCTTAACTTGCGGAAAGTACAGTCTTGGCAATGTAAAAGGTAATATTCTGTGTTTGTTCATAGACATCTTAAAATGTAATTTTTTTATTTGGATTTTTTAAAAGCTGCAGTCTTCAGCAATATGAATTCATGCTAAAGAGTCCCTATCTTCCCTATCTGGCTTTTAGTTAGTCTTTTAATGTTAATTAGTATTTATCATTATGTAAATGTAGAATTTTGCAGAGAGAGAGTGAGGATAAGGAAGGACAATGATTACGATGTAAGAGTGATATAAGATTAAAGAGGGAGAAGAAAAATCATTCAGTGTTGAAAAACTACTGTGCCAGTACTTTTTATCCTCAGATCCTTCCTCTTCTATTGCCAACTGTGCAACCTCTATTGCACAGTCCTTGCACACTTACACAACAGTCAAAATGTAACTTAAAAGCAATACCAGAGTCAATGCCTGCTGGTGACAGAGCTGTGCAGTCACTGTGCTCTTCAGCAGACATTTATTTTTTTTATTTCTCATATCTTGAAGTCACTGATTTAAATTATCCTGCATAAATATTATGTAGGATATCTAGGTACTGTGCAGTTGATGAAAATGTCCACTCCTTAATTTTGGTGGTTGGCTTATTTCTCAACATACTTTTTAATGCATGGGTACAGGTAATAATGTATTACTATATCAAAGCTTCACATAGTGGGAGCTCAAATAGAAGCTTTGTTCCTATAAGGTATTCTGACAAACACATTTGTTTTAGGTGCTGAAAAACAAATGATCGCCACTGTGAATTTTGGTTGCACGTCTAAGGGAAAAATTTCTTTTCTCTGTTCATAAAGAGAGTATACTGAAAAATTCAGGTTTCCTGTGACTAATCCTAAGTGATTGATGATGAAAGGCTGAAGGGAATAAATAAGTTCTCCAGTAATTTAGGTGTTAGAGTAATGTGCAGCATTTATAAGACATGTCTGACAAATTTAGGGCATGTGTGTGTGCTGTTTTGGCATAGCTGGGTGTACAGACCCACCTAGTGGAGGTACAGCAGAAACTACGAGAACTTTTTTTTCCTGCCAGCTTTTCTTTCTCAGACTGTATTAGCTAAACTGATAAAGGTGCCCTTCCACTACCAAAGCTGTGTGCCTGGACTCGATTGGTATCACAGTAACAGCTGCAAGGTGCAGCATCTCTCATATTCCTCACTGGCATACATATGCCAGTAGAACTTGGTAGGGTAGGTCGAACCTTAGGCTGGGATAATTGCATCTGGCAAGAATAAGAAATGAAATTGGTTTGTACTATTTGCAGTTTTAAGTAAAATTACATTCTGAATGCTTAATCTGAAAAATGTTTTCACATTTTTCTCCTTTCTACAGGAACGAACTGGAACGCCAGTTTCTTGAGTTGTTACAGTTCAATATCAATGTTCCCTCCAGTGTTTATGCCAAGTATTATTTTGATTTGCGTTCCCTGGCAGAAGCAAACAACCTGAGTTTTCCTTTGGAGCCCCTCAGCAGAGACAGGGCATATAAACTTGAGGTAAGACACTTTCTTCTTAGAATGCTCAGTGTTAAATATATAGGGGGATGTGGAATTTCTGCATTGTTTCTCCTTTCTTCCACCTTTTCCCAGATACTCCCGTGACATATTAGAGTATTTTATGCCCGATTTTCATCATGGATTTGTCAGTGCCTTGAGTATTCATGGATGTGGGGACAGCACTTTGGCCCAATTTGCTTCATACCTCATCTTGCTTTTCATTTCTTTTGCAATTGCAGTTGTTTGTATTGGCCTTGTGAAAGTGCCCACAAGTTTTATCAAAACTCTATCCACAGTCTAGTTTTGTGTGTTCATTTCATTTCTTAAAATTGGCTATCCACCTTAAAGGACAGAATATTAACAAATGTTGCTGCAAATAACTATTCCATGTTCTTGTTACCTGCTACTGCTTCAATTCATGTGGATCCAAGTCTGTTATATCCTGTGGTGTTTCTCTCAGTAATGGCAGAACAGAAATGAGCACATGCCTTTAGTGAATAAATCATGAATGCTTATGAGACCTGAATATACCATATGCCAAAAGCACTGTGTTGGTCTAGACCTGTGAAATGCTGGGCACTGTTACAGAATACCCACAGACACAGGAGGAATTTAAATTATCAGCTAATTATGGGCCCTTTTCAAGACTGGAATATACTTTTCCTGATTTTTCCGATATGTTTCTCAAGGGCATTATTGCATGGGTGTGTGCACATTTTGTTACTAATTTTGAAGATTTTCATTAGATGCTGACTGCTTTTAACATAACACGTCTTAAATTACATAACAGCTCTGCACTAGAGGTTGTTTGCCTGTGGTTTAGAGTGAGCTTTGCATGCTCTGAAATTCCTAATGTTCCTGTGAAACAGGCAGGCAGTACTGTGCACATTTTTGTGGGGGGAAATGGTGCGTGGGAATGTTAATTGTCTTGTTTGTGACTTCGGTGGGAACAGAAAATGTTGGAGAAAGAATCAAAGCAAATTTCACTAGATTTCTCATTCTTTCTAAATTTCACAGTAGCTCCAATAAGAATGTAACTTAATTCTGTGTATGGTGTGATCTAAATTTGCATCAGATTTTGTTTCTATTAAAGAGAATATTAAAAAAAAGGAAAATCATTTGGATTGTTATCTTAAATGAAGGAGAGGTGATTTACACATGGGGGTCTTGATATATATATGCCATTTTATATCTTAAAATTAAGTGAATTACTTTTGGATTTAGCACACAATTTCTTAACACTGTCAGTCTATATCACATACAATGTATAACAGTGAGTTACAAATGAATGTGACAATGATATCTCCTTAAACCTTAGAAGAAAAGAAAAATAAGAAATTACTGTAAACACCCAGAGAATACTGGTGATTCTTCTGTACTGACTAAAGAAAAGGCATATTTAAAAAGAATTATTGGAATATTTTTTCAATAAATCTGTATTATTAAAAATAAATCCCTGTATTGGGGATGCTTTATGCTGCCAGCAGAAGTTGGCTGTAAATAACCCTGCTAGTCAGAGGATGACTTCAGGGCAGAGAAAGAGTATCTGCTGTAAAACCAACTTGGTCTGCCACCTCCTTGCCTCTGTTCTGTGGCCAGAAGGGAGGGAACTGCCTTGTTCCCTGGCAGTACTTGGTTGTCATTAGTGTGCCCTTGAAACTACTTGACAGCATAATTTATAGCCTGGTTCCCTGAACACAGTTAAGCATTTAGCTTGCCAAGAGTTATCAAAATGCATTTGCAGCACTTCTCCGGGTCTCTTGTGTGCTGCTCAGACCAGAGTTCTCCGTTTTTAAAACAGTTGCCTGGATTGTCAAGTGAAGGAGATGTAGTACCACACAGGCTGTGATATTTTTGATACTGAGAGGAAAGCTGCAGTCTGTGATGAAAGACAGCAACCTTGTAGCAAATGTACACAGAAGGATTTGCCCTGTCTGGTAAACTGAAAAGACCTTGCTCAGTCCCAGGATTTAAAGCAACTTATTTACTGACATGGGAGATCACAAAAGGTCTTGCATGGAGAAATGGTGATATTATCATGCTTTTTTTGCTATTTTTGCATTTTAAAGCCATTTTATGTACCTAAAGCAGGAGCATTAGATCTGACGTGGCAGAATCTGCATGACAATTTCTGCAAACATCATGAGGTTGACATAAATGTGAAGGGAAAAAAAAAAAAAGCCTTAAGAAGACCAAGGGCAGAGCTAATGAATACTGTTCCTCATCCAATGGAAATGTTGGAAAAGATCCATCAGCTTAGAGGTGTTATGAGACATTGCAATAGTTGTTAAAAATTACATCACTTTCTCAAGCATCTGCAGTGGATGTTTTTCCTTATTGATGTTCTTACATTTGTCACTTAAGAAGCAGCTTTGTCTTTTAAATGATTAAATGACAGTAATTTTTTCTTACCTTTCTGTCTTGGAGTTGTTACACCAGTCCACCTGGTAGTCAGAAACCATTTTTATGACCCTTCTTGGGTTTTTTCCTGTTGTATGGAGTTAGGCAAGTTAAAAATGGCAAATAACCTTTTATTACGTCATTCAGTCTGTCCACCTGCCAATGCAGTTTGTTCCAGCTGGCATATGTTGTAGTGTGTTTTCTTCTTCCTTTTAATTATGTCAAATATCAAGGCTTCCTTTGCTTCTCCATATTTGTTAATATGGGAGATTTGTCTGCCAAGAAGGTGGTTCGATGTCCAGCCTCAATCCACTATTTTGTAATTTCCTACTCTCACACCTGGTTATTATCCCATGTGCTGAGCTAAATATGAGTCAGATTATCCTCTTTGGGGTAAGTACACAAAACGTGCTTACCCTACCCTGCTTTGTAAGAGCATTCATTAGTGCACTCCCAGTTTACCTGTATGCTGTCTGAGTTATTTACTGTGAGGATGGTACTTGAGCACGTAGTTCAAACCCTTTGAAATACGTGCTATATTTTCTTGGCCCTAGAAGATACAGTTCTGTAGATCAAACAGACAAAACCAAGGAGAAAAATATGTAAGTTACAAGTAGAGGAGTGTCTTTCAGCTTCCCAGTGTCAGATATCTCTTCAGCTTTCCAGTGTCACAGTGGCTGATTGCAGTCCTGTGCGTTTTGTATGTTCAGATCCCTCTTACCCAGGAAGCAAAGGGAAAGCAAAACAGAGCAAAACTCACCTTCACTTTTGTTAAAAGTAACCAATTGCTTTTTCTTACATACTCTATAAATTAAGAAGAAGCACCATCATCCCATTACATTTTCTTCATATACAGCCTTTCTAAACTTGGTGCTGTCTGTCCCTGCTGTTTTCTCTGGTTTGTCAATTAGTGGGGGCTGTGCAGCACTCACAGTTGTGTGCTTTTGTGCATTCCTGGTAGTGAAGCCATAGCCAGCCGTGCTGCTTTCCTGCCCTGCACAAACGTGCAAGCAGCCAATATTTACACTACTATTTCTTGCTACTACTACTACTGCCATTCTCCCACCTCCTTTCACCTTACTCGTCCCCTTCTCCAGTGACAAATTCTCATGTAGATTCATATAACTCAGCAGAGGAACTGACTTTAGGTCTGTGTGCCTGTATATAATGGAAGAATATATATGCATTCATTCTAGCTGATTATATATATTGCATTCAATGCCAGCCAAATTTCACATGATAGAATAGTGTTGCTATTTTAAATAATGTTTTGATTTCATATGAGAAATGGTAAAAAAACGTTTTTGGGTTTTTTTCCTAACAATAAAAGCAACAGAAATCAGATGACAGAAAGGTGTTTATAAGCTATCTGGATATATTTTAACTGAAGGACAGTAATAAATATTTACAGTTTTCTGCTTTTGTCTTGTTTCTTCATATGTTGCTCTAAAGTTGACTAACCACCTTACCAAATAGGCTCCAAATGTCAATTTTTTAAATTACTAAGATACCAAATATTAAGTGTCACTTCCAAGAAAATTTCATTTTGTCTGACCAAGTGCCAGAACAGAAATTTTCCTGTGAAGCAGGCAATTTTGAAGTGATTACCTGATGCCTAAAGTAACAGTCTGATTTGGCAACCTAAAGAAGCTGAGTTGCACCTCATTGTACCTATTTGTCAAGCCATACCTTGGCACATCATTTCATGAATAAACACTTTTGACCTGTTGAATTTTAAATCTGATTGAATTGCATAAACTCTTAGTCCATTAAGTTCCTGGTTAAATGAAATACAATGTTATTAAACACTTTTAAGTGAGTTAAATTATGGTCTAAAAAGCAATAGGAATATTTGTGTTATTTTATTCTCTTGTTCTCTTCATGTGCACCATGAAAAAAACTGTGTTCAAGAGGAGTCTTAATAAAAGGAAATTCAGTTTTCAACTGAAAAGTAGAAATTGGTCTCTTAGTGGTGGTGGTAGTTTTTGGTGTTTTGGTGTTTGGGTGGGGTTTTTTGTGTGGTTTTGGAGGGTTTGTTTGTTTATTTGTTTTATTTTGGTTTTTAATTATGTTTTCAGGCTAGTTTGACCAAAGCATTAGGTGAACTTGCTCTCAGATGTGAATTGTGTACTTCTGTCATACCTGCCTCTGGTTTTTGCAGGACTATTAAAATTAAAGGACTCTTCACTACTACAACTCACTGTGCTATAGAAGTAAAGATCAAGAAAGAAAATGATGATCCATAGAGTCAGGCTGTTTAATTATTTGTAATATCTTTTTTTATAATCAAACACTTGTACTGGTTTTGTTTGTACGGTACTTTTTATTAAATGTCTTATCTTGAGACACCACTTGAAACCATTCCTGAGTAAATAAAAATACTGCTCTAGTTCATCTTATTTTTTAATTTGACCTTGAGTACTCCTTGCAGTGAGCTTTCTTTGCAGTTCTGCGTGTTTGATCACCAGAGTTAACGTCTCTACTGATGCCAACCATAGCCTGTCCCAGCCATATGAACCATAATAGACAGGCTATTTTAGGGCACAGTATATTTATGCATATGAGGTCCATAATAAATACTTGTTTTAGATGACTTCACAAAAAACAGTAGGAGAAACATAAAACATTAAATCCAGTACAGTGTAAAAGGAGTCAGTGCTTAAATAATGTTTGTCTCTCTGTTTAAAAGGCTTTAAAATTGCCATGTATTTGTAATGCAAATTAAAGTATTCTGAATATGTGCTACATTTTCCTCTGGCTCAATATAGGATAGCCTGATCACACAAAAATCACCACCTGCTTCCGAAAGGCAAACAAACATTAACTCTGGAAACAAAGCAGGGCGAGTGTTCTGCCAGAGCATTTCTCAGTAGAGAAAAAAAATTGCTAAGAAACTTTTTAGAAAATAAAAAAATTAAGAACCATCCTCTTTATAAATTCTCCAAATATACTTAGGTATTCTACAATTGTTTTATTAAGTTTTCCTCAATTTTTTGCCGGTGCAATGCTATATATCAGTTACCTTGTAGCAGTGGGTAAGCACTGTCAGCTCCCCCAGTGACATTTGTGATGGTTAACCTGAAAAGAAAAGGCTTGGGATATGCTTGGGATACGCTCTCTGAGTCCTTCAAAAGTGCGGGGCAAAGCAAGTCTTTCTTTTAAGATTAATGAACTGGGAGCGAGGGTTTGAGGAGAAACTTCTTCATGTGTTTTGCTTAATGAAGTGACTTTTTGGAATTCTACCTATATGTAGGAATCTGCATTTAACCTTACTTTATACAACTGTGGGCAATGCAACTGAGGATTGTTTCATCTTTTACAGGCCATTTCTCGCTTGTGTGAAGATAAATATAAGGACTTCAGGAAAGCTGCAAAGAAACGGTCGGTCAGTGCTGACAATCTGACTGTGGTTAGATGGTCCCCTGCGATTATCTCCTAACAGAGGAGACTGGAATATCCCTACGGACGTACTGTTTCATCCATCCATTTTTTTCAGAGTGGGCTGGGGGGCGGGGGGATAAAGAAAAAAAGACTTTTGATTTTTTTATTTTTAAATCTGTCAAGCTGCCTTTACAGTGCCTCCCCATTGTGTAGCACACGAGTGAAAACCTAGTGGAAGGAGAAATGGAAAATCGGTGTTCGGGAGAGAGGATGAGCAACAGTTTTTTTCTCACTTTCACTAACAGCTTTACACTTTTTATGAGGAAACAGCGAATCAGGTGCTTGAAAGAAGAAACAAAAAAATGAAGTAGAGGCAGAAAAATATTTAAGAGAACTGTGCCATTTTCTATTATACTGTACTCATGAAGGGAAATGGCAGCATGAAAATAAACCATGTAGTCAGATGACTGTGCACTAGAGGAGAAGAAGTTGGGAGATTTCCATCTTAAAGGTTTCTCTTAATATCTTTTTTGTTGTTGTTGTTGTTGGGTTTTTTTTTTGCGTTCCTCATTGCTGCTTCCCAGGATAAAATCTTCCCCTTGCACAGCAGGAAGTACAAAGTCTGTATTTACAGTAGCACAAGCCCCTGAATAAATAGCATTGGGTTTTTTTCACTGCACTTTTCTCTGTAAGCTGTCTTATTAGCATTATTCTTCTTAATTATTATGCATATGTTACATTTCTTGTATGCCTTTTATTGTATTGCAAAAGAGAGAACTTGACCATAGTGCTGAACCAAAAGTGTGTACAGGGATCAGAAGATCTTAGTAATTTCATGATGTATTTTATTTATAGTATACTTGGGTGTGTGTGCCTTCCTGAGTTCTTGGAATCATTTATTTTTCCGTAATATAAAGATACAGTTGTTAAAGTCTTGAGATGATGATGATGATGATAAGACTTGGGCCAAATCTCTGAAATTTGCAACAGATCTTGTGATCCTTTTTGCAGATTTTCATAGCATTAGAAGTTTAGCAGAATTCATTCATTTTGAGGGAGATTTTTTTTTTTTGTATGGCCTGACTAGTTCATTCCTTCACCTCCAGGTCCATTGTTGCAAGCAATATTCTCAATTTTTATATGTTTACTTTAAATCAAAGCGAGTCTGTTTGTATAAAATAAAAAATAATAAAAAAAATTGTTCCAATGAGAAGGCCTGTAGAAGAGCAGAATGGAAATCTTAACAAGGTATTTGTCACAAGGAGATTTGATTTGGAAGCTAAAATACAAACCCTCATGTTTTTCAGCGTAGGTGCTTATAGAAATTAAAAGTAACCGAACTGTGAACATAATTTCCAACTCTGATTATTAAGCTCTTACTGTTGTTACTGTTTCCCTCTTACCATGGCTGTTGCTCCCTTGGCAATTGAAAGAACCTTTTATAGAAAATAACTTGTCAGTAGAAGCATATTTGCTTCGTAATGCCCCAGGGTGATTTTCTTTTTTTCCCAATTTTTTTTGCACAGTTTAGAAAGATACAGCTGAAAGCTCTCAGTTCCCTGAAATCCTTTCCTTGTGACTATCACTGAAATGAATGGCAACAGACATCCCTGATTTATGCACTACTGTTGTAACCCATAAAAGATTCCGTGTTTGTTTTGTTAAGCCCTATGGGCTTGTAGCAAACCTGGGGGCCCAGCGATGCACATTTGACTCCCCAGAGTGATGCTAATCGGGTGCCTCCGGGCAGAAAGGCACCGACAGGTTTGAAGTAGTAAAACCAAACAGTTTTCTGTTGACTTTCTAATGTGATTTGTGTAGTTTGAGACATGAAGGTTTCGTCCATAAATTCTCCTGGTGTCCTTTGGGCCTTTAAAATAATCTAATTCTCATCACTTCTTGTTGTGCCAATGCATCAGAACTGTGAGTATCCAAGTCCATTTTTCCCTTGAACGTGGAATGTAAGGCAGGTGTTTATAACAAATTGCAGCATTTGAAACCTCTTTACAGATATTATCAAAAGGAACATTTTCAGAGCATTTGAAATTCATCCTTTATAAGCATAAATTTAGGCTTTAAAATATGTAAAATATTTTGGTTTATCAACACTTTGCTAAACTATTTTCCATTTAACTTGATATCAGGAATATTGGTTTTATCCATTTCTGGGTGATAGAGATACGAACTTTGGATTATGTAAAGATATCAATGCATCTACTATAATTTTTGTGAAGTTTATTAAACTACTTTAAAGATTGTATAGTCTATTTATTGTATGTATGTACATACAGTCTGATACTTTAAAAAGTGGATTCCGTAAAACCTGGCTCAGTCTTGTTTAGACTATTGAATATCGTTTTAGCCTTGTGCACTGGACTCTACCTCTGTATAGGAGAATTTTCCATATTCTTAATTAGTACTGACTCTGTGATTAACTTGGTTATGTTTCTTGCACTAAGAATTAAAAAAAAAATCTGCTGTAAGTGTGGATTTTTTTCTTTAGTTTTGCCATATGAATCCTCTACATTTAGATGGATGTTTCTTTCCCTCATGGTTATAGAATAATTCTTTGCTTTTTCTTTGGTTTGTTCCAGGGTTGCCAAAAAATACAGTACTTGTCATTAAATCTGAATGAGTGTCTTTTGTTTGCAAGGTATTCTATACCAGGTAATTAAAAAAGAATTATTATTTAGGATTACGTTGTGTTTAGTGTAGTTTTTTAAGCATTACTGTATGGAAAATGCCATTGCAAAGTTAGAGAATCACCCTGGATGTGAGAAGGGAGGAGAACAATATAGCATTTTAATTAACAGCACAAATACATTGTGTTTTGCTGTAAATGTTTTCTGGATAAAGGTTTTCATTATTGCTTTGGTCACCGGCTCAGAAATGAAAAGGTGTGGGAGATATAATAAACCTGTCCCTTCAAGCATCATTGTCTTAATGAATTATTTTTGTATGTTGAGCCAGTGGTCCACTTGTTTGGTCATTTATGCATTGGTAACTGGATCAGTATTGCATCTGTATGCAGCCCAGAGATGTTTCCCTAATTTCTCTTTCCATCTGCAGACTTGTTTATATTTGATTTGTTGTTTATATTTTATTGTTTGTCAGTGATATATATCATTCTGACACATACTGTTCCCTGGGACTGAGAGCACTGGAATAAAACACTCAGATCACCTATTTCCACTTTCCACAAACCCAGGCAGTCTTTCAAATGATACACATTTTCTATTGATAAAAACGTACAAAATCCCGATAGCAGGGTAATGGTATCCTTTTCAGTAATTGGTTTGGTTTGGGTTTGGGTTTGTTTGGTTTTTTTAGAGAGATCAGCATATATGGCTCAGTTACTGTTTACATTTATGGAGGCTGAACTAAGACTTTGTTTTTAACACCACTTTCTCTACTTACCAGCTCTCCTAATGACAGAAACCTTAGCTATAATATAAAGATTAGAAGTAGCAAAAACCTCATCAGAAAAGGGTGACGGTGTAATGGTGGCAGATGACAAAATGACATCTGGTAGTGTTGACTATATATAAAAATAGCAGTATGTGGGAAGGGATAGAGGAACTGCAAGGGCAGAAAAAACCTTCAAATCTTAACAGCTGAAGCAGCAAATTATTTACAGTCATCCTTAGCTGGTAATGAACATTGCATTTTCCAATGACATGTTCAAACTCCTAACTGAAGTGCTGCACGTCCACTGCAGACTTGTATTGCTCTCTGTTCCTACTCAGTCTTCATATGGAATTCACTCATCCTAGCTTTTAGCACTTTCCTCACTTCTGTTTCAAACACATTTTTCTGTAATCAGAATTTTTTTTTTTTACTTGAATTGACAGTTGTTGACAACATTTGCCTACTCTGCAGTGGAGCTGCCACTCAGTGTCTCTGACAGGTTCTGAGGAACCAACTGAAACATAAGCACAAACATACCGATGTGAGTGCGAGGTAGATGCACATGGGAATGTATCTACACCCAAAGTGCAGTGTCTTTGTATCTTTCTGCTGATGTGGGTTTTTTTATCTCTTCAACTGAACTCTATCTTGAAGAAACCACAGAACTGATGAGACTCTGAGTTGCATAAACTAAAAGTAATGATGGAAGATACGTGGAGACGAGTGTTTGGAGAAAATGCTTTAAAAAGGGAAACAAGATTTAGAAGAAAAGCTGCTGATTGTAAGGAATCAATAGCAGACACAGATTAGATGCTGAAAATGATTGTTTCCTTGTGTGTGTGAACCTGGCTTTCTGGATCTTCTTACGAGAATCCACAAAAAGTAACTGATGAATTGCAGAACCACAACTTGAAAATGACTGAATGCATTGAGGGCAGTGAGATACTAGAACAGGTTGCCCAGAGAAGTTGTGAATGCCCCATCCCTGGCAGTTTTCAAGGCCAGGTTGGATGAAGCCCTGAGCAAATCTGATCTAGTGGAAGATGTCCCTGCCCATAGTGGGGGAATCGGATCTAGATGATCTTTAAGGTCCCTTCCAACTCAAGCCTTTATATGATTCTATGATTATAGCCAAGAAAACCATGGTTGAGTTTACTTCTGTTGCCTGACCTGGATCACTGGGCTCTTCCCATTAAAGGAAGAAACCAACAGGATGTCAGATAGAAGAAAGGCAGGTGACAGAGCAGTACAAGTAGACTGCATTTCTTTTGTTCCTTCTAGAATAGTTGGTCTGATGCAATTTGGTGTGAAAAAAGAGAGTTGTTTTTTCATGCCCTTTACACCATGTGTTTCAGCATTATCAGCAGAGATTTTTAACTTTTATAGCTGGAGATGTTCTTTGGTGATGATACTCTAAGCAAGCTCCTTGGTGTGGTGATAGGTGACAATACACCTGTGTTTCCTGTATGAGTTGTCCAGAATCGCTGTAAAGGGTTTGTAAAGCTTGCTCAAGGCTCTGGGCAGTATCTTTTGGGAAGGTGTCAGTGATCTCTATAGATGGAGAGCAGCAAATGACAACAAAATGTCAGAAACTGTATATTGTGAAATACAGTTTGGGATGCTGCAGGTAATGCAGTAGAACTTTGAAGCTGGAAAATCTCTGGAACCAGCACTGCCACCCCTTTGCATTCACTGGCAGTGAAATGAATCCTTAAAAAGCAGATGAAGACTTACTCATGAGGGCTTAACTGAACAGGCATTAGAGTAAGACATCACCTTCACCAGAGAAATTCCACAGTATATTTAAGTCTAGAGCTAATTCTTCCCTGCATGTTTCCTTGCTTCACTGCCTCTGGGTTTTCCTGCCCCTTTATTTTAGATGTTAGTACAAATTATTCTCCATGAAAACAGTATCTTGGGAACTGGAATCATCTTGTGGCCACATGCTTTTTGGTCATGTGTTTCAGGCAAGTGAAGCATTCTTCTGTAGAAAAAGGAAAGGCCAAAGGATGGGGATTGATGTGCAAGAAGGGTTATGAGGCACAACTAGGTGTGCATTGTTTTAAAGTAATCCATGAAATAAAGATGGGGAAATGTATTTGTACCTTCTGTGCTGTCAGTACCAAAAAGCATTGATGATACTTGAAGTAGTACGATGATGCTTAATTTGTTGGGCAAAGAGCTTAAGGAATTATTGCCTCCCTTCAATGGGACATGAATATGTCAGGATATGCAGATTGTTTTGCCATAGATCCTGGGAGGAGGAAGACTAGGGTGTAGTGAGCAAAATGGCACAGAAGAACTTGAAAAATACATACACCAAATAACATGATGAACATGCATGAACATCATGCATTAGAAGGCAGAACTATCTTGGTGTTGATACACAATCTAGCAGTGTTTGGAAAGTATTGGGTGATCACCTTACATAAAAACATCCCATTCTTTTTGTGGCCTTACAGGAAAAGGTCATCCTGCGTAGGCAAAAGCTTAGTACACTTTGGCAAGTACTAGAATATGATCAGTAATATTTGGAGTAGTCTTTACAAAAAAAAAAAAAGGAAAGGTAGAAGTGCTCCTGCTAAAAACAGAAGGTGCAGGGTGTAACGTGATGCTGCTGTGGGGCTAAATTGCTATGAATGTTGGGTAAAGAGAGGGGTAAAGAGAGTCTCCTGTTTGTGACACTTTTCAGTACCTGTCAGTGACACTTTTGAAGTCACAGGGTGGGAGGGTGAGAAAAACTGTAGACAATACCTCCCTAAATAAAAACAACCCAAACCCAAGTCCATTGTAGTTAAGTAATTCTGCATTATCCATAGCATAGTTTTGAATAGAGAGGGGAAATTATCTTCCAACTTATTTATGTAGTTGCTTTGCACAAAACTGAAAATGGTTTAAATGTCTAAATTGCCACCATATTTGTTTAACTTTCCTGTTACTGACAACAGGTTTGTATCTTACATTTTACCATAGGAATGAGCCCACAGTTTGAATGTGTACTCTAGCAGTCTTTTATAGGGCACCTGTTCTAAATCTGTCCTCTGAGGAACTAGAGGAATGATTCTTGTAACCTAGGAAAATAGTTGGGTGTATCTTGATACTTTTGAATACTATCAGGTAAAGTGATCTCCTAGATCTGCTTGGATTTAAGACTTTGGATCGATTATTCCTTCAGCTGAAGTATTTATTCATAAATCAATACTGTAAAGCATAAAATGACAGCACTGAATTCATTTAGGGAAATTACGGTCATGTCACCCTGCCACGGAGCTTCAGTGAACAAAGGACTGACCTGATTCTTCTACTGCCCCATTTAGTAATGAATCTCAGTGAAAACATTGTCATTGTTTCTGACCTGTGAGAAATCCAGACCATGAAATCATTGCTTTTCTGTGGTGACCTGTCATTGCGGTACATCAGAAAGGCTTTTTCTGTTCTGCTCTGTTTCGCTGGCCTGTGGCAGAACAAAGTTGTTCTGCCCCTTAAAGCATGCACATAGCCAAAGCACGTGTTAGCTGGATCTGTGTGCTTTAGATGTCTGATACCCAGCTGCAGTGTTTTCATTTTAACTTTTGTAAAATAATTTCCTTTTAGAAAAAGAAACCAGAACAAGAAGTCAGTTTTAAGTTTTTCCTGAAATACATAGATTGAAAATCAGTGTCTTAATTTTTCCATTCCAGATTTTTTTTTGTAATTTCAGACTTGAGCTAAATTTTCCATGACAATTCAGTACGAGTGTGCGTGTGAGCATTTATTTTTGATGTTAATTGTATTAGATAAGGAATTTCTGTGGCAGTTGCTAATAGGAAAAGCAGTTATTTTAAATGTCATTTGAACCTGTTGTTTGCCCCCCTGAGGAATACATTTATCTGGAACTACTAAGAATAGGTAAATTCAGTGATACAAGATTGCAGGTTTTGGCCCTGTCCCCTTCATTGTGTTACATCAACAATGAACATTTTACAAATTACGAGTATTTGTAAGAAGTTTTCCAAGTTTCTAATACTTTCAGTGTAAACTCAGAGATTCAGAGGATTGGGGGCACAGGGAACAGGAGAAAACTGTAACTTTGATTTCTTCAACAGACTGATCTGTCTCCCTCAGCTTTTTTTCTTCTCAAAGTGTCCTTATCTTTTTTTTTTTTGCTTTGCAGAGCAGAGCAGGATTGGTAGCCAGTGGGTTTTCACAGAATCATAGAATGGTTTGGATTGGAAAGGAACTGTAAAGATCATCTACCTCCAGCCCCCCTGCAATGTGCAGGGACACCTTCCACTAGTCGAGGTTGGTCAGGGGCCCATCCAGCCTGACCTGGTTTCTTTGTTTGACTAACCTGCACATAGTTCAGGAGTGCATACAGTGGGCTTTGTACATTAAATCAGTGACCAGAGAAGATGGAAGTCTCGTCATTTACAACTGTGTAACAACCACCTGCCCCAAGAGCAGAGGCAGAGCTGAACTGAAACACCGAGCTCACCCGAGGCACTGTTAGGTACTCAGGGTCACTTCATCAGTGTTAGAGGAGTT